TAACATATCTCCATATTAATTCAGGTAATATTTACTGAGAATTACTAAGCATAGACCACAGGGACAGCACTATGGAAATTCTGTGGGAGATAAAAAATTTACACTATGTCTGCACACTATTATACTGGCTCTATCCCATATTATACTCTGCAGTCAAGACATATTAATATTAAAAAATTAAAGCCATCCTAGCTCTCTGGGAGGCTGAGGCAGGCGGATTGTTTGAGCTCAGGAGTTCGAAACCAGCCTGAGCAAGAGCGAGACCCCGTCTCTACTAAAAATAGAAAGAAATTAATTGGACAACTAAAAATATATAGAAAAAATTAGCCGGGCATGGTGGCGCATGCCTGTAGTCCCAGCTACTCGGGAGGCTGAGGCAGGAGGATCGCTTGAGCCCAGGAGTTTGAGGTTGCTGTGAGCTAGGATGACACCACAGCACTCTAGCCCGGGCAACACAGTGAGACTCTGTCTCAAAAAAAAAAAAAAAAAAAAAAATTAAAGCCAAAGTACACAATTTCTTAAGACACATCATAAGTGTCACAAGGGTCACAATCATAATGCCAAGGAATGTAGAGGGAGGAGAAATACTATGGGGTCAGAAAAGATTGACTTGAGCTAGATATTCAATGATGATGGATTTAGAGGAGAGCAGAGGGCAATTTAGGCAAGGGCATGATCTAAGAAAAATATAGAGCTATACTGAAGAATTTCTATAGGGAAGTGGTGGGAGGAAAGTTTAGAAAGTTGAGCTGGAGCCAGATTATAAAACCTTGGTATCAGCTTTAGGAGTCTGGGCTTTATTCTGAGTAACAATGGTTCTGGGATTCCAGTGTCCTCAAGAATCACCTGTGGGGAGACTGGTGATTAGACAGATTTTAACTCCTGAGATTCTGATTTAGTATGTTTGGCATGTTCCAGGAAAATGCATCTTAATAGGCTCCCCGGGTGATTCTGGTACACTGACACACTTTGAGACAGGACAAAAGATTAAGAATCCCTACTATTAGCTATTGAAAATACTCCAATTCTTAATAAGCTCTGAAAAAAGCCAACTGCTAGGCCCAAAGGTCTTTCCTTAGTCTTTGTGTTATCCAGTTTTTCTCTAGTACATGGCACTGACTTTGTCACTGTTTACATTTTGAAAGTATCTTTGCGTAACAATGCACTTTTCTGGTTCTCTCTGCCTCTCTGATATCTCTATAGTCTCCTCTGGCCTCTTATACTTTGCCCTTTCTTTAGATGTTATTTTTCAAGATTCTGACATCAGTTCTCTACAGTTCTTCCTTAGTGATTTCATATACTCCTGAGGAGTATGGAAAGCCTTGATGCCAACCTCCAGAAGATTAGACTTTGTTCTGTAGATAAAGAGAAGCTATACAAGTTTCTAAGCAGCGGAATGGTATAGAGAAAGACATGTTCTAGGAACATTACCTTGGACATGGTCTACAGAAAAGGTTTAGAGATAGGAGAAATAGGAGATAGGGAGAATAATTAGGAGACTGTCAAAATAAATGTTTAAAGTCATCACCAAGGTGTGGCTTCAGAATGAAAATGTTACTTTTCTAGTAGTTCTCCCCTTTCAGAAACTATTCTTATTTTAATAAATTAATGTCAGATATTTCTAAATACACTGGAGTGTCATCATGTGTTTTTTGTTTTTTTTGCTATATATTCAGCTGTAACATAAATCAGGTTCTCTGCAATGTTAATCACAGATAGTAAAAATCTGACATGATTTTCTTCTCTTAAAACATCAATATGAGTTCTTATTCTCTAAAACAAGTGGCATGGAAGGAGTCTATAATATTTGATTTTGATATATTACAAATTGAGTTCATTCACTATGGAGTCAACAAATTATCATTTGTACAGATATTATTCATAAATGGTATGCCTTCTTTAATGACTTGAACTAATAAAGGAACGGTAAATGTGTATTTGATTTTACTTTATATAAGTGTATTCAAGATATTAAAACCATATCCATTGTTTTCTTTAATTTCAAAATGTTAGGGAAGGCTGGCGTGGTGGCTCACGCCTGTAATCCTAGCTCTCTGGGAGGCTGAGGCGGGTGGATTGTTTGAGCTCAGGAGTTCGAAACCAGCCTGAGCAAGAGCAAAACCCCGTCTCTACTAAAAATAGAAAGAAATCAATTGGACAACTAAAAATATATAGAAAAAATTAGCCGGGCATGGTGGCGCATGCCTGTAGTCCCAGCTACTTGGGAGGTTGAGGCAGGAGGATCGCTTGAGCCCAGGAGTTTGAGGTTGCTGTCAGCTAGGATGATGCCACGGCACTCACTTTAGCACGGGCAAAAGAGTGAGACTCTGTCTCAAAAAAAAAAAAAAATGTTAAGGGAGTACAAATGTTTTTGTTATGTGGATACCTTTTATAATGCTTAAGTCAGGGCTTTTAGTGTGCTCATCACCCAGTGTTCATTGTACCCAATAGATAGGTTTTTTATCTACCCTCCACTCCCCCGCATTGTTTTATACATAGTATTTTCTATAATTGAGTCCAGGAGGTTTCTAAATTGACAAATAAAACAGTATCTTATTTAGATACTCTATTTGAAACATTCTAGAATCTTAGAAAATTAGAAGCAGAAGGCACCTAAATTAGGTGCAAACCTGCCTGCACTTAATTTATAGTAAATAAACCAATTTATTGGGGCCGGGTGCTGTGGCTCACGCCTGTAGTCCCAGCTACTCAGGAGGCTGAGGTGGGAGGATCACTTGAGCCCAGGAGTTTGAGGTTGCTGTGAGCTAGGCTGACACCACAGCACTCCAGCCCAGGCAACAAAGTGAGACTCTGTCTCAAAAAAATAAATAAATAAATAAACCAACGTATTGGCTATTCTTTCTCAAGTGATTCACACTAAGAGATGCTAAGCTTTTATCAAGATCAATTTCTATTTTAATAACTCTCGCAAGAGAGTCAATTTCCAAAAAGATGGAAATTATTCCTTCCTATTGTATGACCTTGGGAAAATTATTTAAACATTGTCTTTCCATAGCACTATCGTCATTATATATATACTGTGAAGATAAAATATCTATTGAAGGTTCTTTGAGCACTTTGGGCCAAAAGAGGTACAGAAAGCCAAGATATAGTTATTTTCATATCCACTATTTGTCTTGCCTTTTCCCTTGTTGTAGCCTCCCTGGAAATTAAGCAAAGTCGATCATCACCTTCTGTTTAATAACTATTTATGTACTTGAAATTGCTATTCTCCAAAAGTACCTCAAGGAAATGTTTTAAGGACGATTGCTTGAACTATAAAATAGCAATCTAGGCCTATGAGTCAGCGTTTCACTTAGACATAAAATCAAAATGATTTAAAATAGGTAACACAATCTTTTTGAAAGTCATACACACTTCTTTGGAGAACCTTTGAGAAAACTGGAGTTTGCAAGTTTATGAATAGTTTATTACATTTCAATAAGTGTATTGTGAATCAATAAAGCAAAAGTTAAGGACAATGAGCTCATTACCAAGCCAGTTATTGATTCTCAAGTTCCAAAATAGCATAATACAGGAAGGGTAAAGAGAAAATAGGATTTTTTTGTGATAATAAAAAATTTAAGTCTCTTAGGAACACAAATCTAAAGAAATTATAAGACACAAAGGAATTTTCAGCAGCTACTTAGGATGTTTATTTAATGTCTTCACCTTTTTGGTAATTAGCAATATTATTTGGTTTTCACTCTTAAAAAACACCTTTTAATCAGATCAGAGGAGTTTTCAAAACTACCTCTTATTGACTCATTTATTCTTTCAACTTCTTGTATATCTTCCTCTCTTGTCTTTGAAAAGTTTATCTTATTAGCTGTCTATCTTATACCATTCTTTTAGACATCTCAGGCTGCCATAACAATGTACCTTAGACTGGGTAGCTTAAACAACAGAAATTTCTTTTCTCATAGTTCTGGAAGCCAGAAGTTCAAGATCAATGTGTCAGCATGGTCAGTTTCTGGTGATGGCTCTTTTCCTGGCTGGTAGACAGCCACCTTCTCGCTGTGTGCTCACAAGGTGGAATGGGGTGGGGTGGGGAGAGCAAACTGTCTGGTGGCTCCTTTTTTACCGGTCTCATCATGAGGGCCCCACCTTCATGACCTCATCTAACCCTAATTACCTCCCAAAGGCTCCATCTCCACATACCATCACACTGGGGATAAGGGCTTCAACATATGAATTTCAGGGTGAGGCACAAACAGCCAGTCCACAACATTCACTAATTCAGAAAAACTGACACTGGCTCCAAACCATCAAGCAGATAATATGAGAATGAATAAGTCAATGTGTTTTCAAGCTATTCCTGGAGAAAACTTCCCTTTTTCTTCCTCTTATAGTAATCTAATTCAACAGGAAAGGGACTTCCTAAAAAATTTATGAACTAACACTAATTTCATGAACTAGTTCTTTAAAAACCAAAGATATGGCACGCACCTGTAGTTCCTGCTACTCAGTAGGCTGAGGTGTGTGTCTCACTTTCCATCTTTTTTTTTTTTTTTGAGAGTCTCAAAAAAAAAAAAACATGGAAAGTGAGATACATGTGGTTTTGCTAAAAACTGAGAAACAGAACATTAACTCATCTATATGGGTATGTTTAATAAAAATAACTTTTAATCCCCTATACTTTTTTCTATGTTAACTAAAGATTCCTAAAATAATGTAAAGCATCTGTATGTCCTTGGAAAGTAATAAAATGCACAAAACATTTCTATATTACATTTTGATACATATTATAAAAGGAATGATGAATCACATATACTTTCATTCAAAATATGGAAAATATAAATAGTAAAATTGACAAAGTTATAAATGGTTTGTGTTGCATTTTACCTAATTTTAACACAAATAGTTATTTTTATCACATACTACACAAATCAGAGCATAATAAATGTATTTCCCTGGATAGCACAAATTTCTTCATTGTAAAATATTTAAAATGTATGTAATTTTAAAAGTACAGCTAAGAACATTTCCTTAATGACTATGAAGTCAATAGACAGCATTTCTCAAATTTTCAAGTGGAAGGGTAGGAGAAAGCAGGACAAAAGCTGACTGAGATCAGAGAGCGTTTGGGTGACTTGGCAAGGTCACCCAATTAGCAGGTTGCAGAGTTATATAAGGGACCCAGGATTTTCTTGTCTAAAAATGCTGCAGATTAGTGTTTTCAAGATGAAGGGGAAGAAAATCTTAATATAGTTCAGATCATTTAATACCATAAAGCAGCTATAGAAACTAATTTTTAATTTTCAAAACTCAATTAAATGTGTGTATGGTCCATTGGTATCCAGCTTTAACACCTGCCTGTTCCCGTAAGTGCCATGTTCCACTACAACGCCAGCTTCAGCACACTTGCTGTTAGCAGCTAATTCTTTTTCACATAGAGTCACAAATTGAGAATAAAGTTCTAACCCTTCTTCTTTTCCAGAGTTAGAGTGATACTGCATGTTCTTTCCTTTTACTCTTCCCCCGAGGGTGGCTTGAGGGATGATAAGAATGTCGCCAGGTAGATCCAATATAGAGATGTGCTTGCCATTTTCTGTCTCGCTCAATTTCACATTTAACAGTGTATTAACTGGGTGGGGAGAGAGGCAAAACATTTTGAAGTGAAAAACAAACATGAAGAAAATCATTATTTTTAGTCAGCAAATCTCATGCTTAAAACTCAGTTTGTCAGCTCATACTTCTAACCCAAAGTCTCTATTTGGATTTTAAAAACTGCTTCACTAAGCTAAATAATCTAAGCATGAAAAATAAAGCAAATTTCATGCAGAAAATGGCATGATATTTTAAATTTGACTTGGCAGTTAAGATTACCTAACATTATGTTCATCCAGAAAGGTCTGACGAATTAACTGTACATTGGAACCTCCAATATTGTTGCCTTGGAGGAAAGCATGAGAAGATTTTGCTGCCCTGCTCCTTCTATTTCATTAGCAAATCCCACTGGAAAAAGATCATGATTAATCCTCCTCACACCAAATTCTGCATTATAACAGAATATTAAATAAAGATGTGCATTTATTATTTTAAACTTAGTTGCTTAGAGTTTTAAGCTGAGATAAAGGTTCCTGCTTCAATCCCATTATAAACCAGCTGATTTTGTAGTTTCATAACCTTAAAGGCAATATAAATATGAACTAATCATTTTACAAATATAATCCATGGAAGAAGGGTAAAGATGAAAGCAAGAACCATCAGAAATTCTTTGTCACAACTGAAAAAGTAAATCAAAAGATACAGAGCTACTGGCACTATCTTCACATACATGTAAGAAAACATGGTGGTATTTTTATAGCATCTATGAGATTATTTGTAGCTAATAAGAAGTGTCAACACTACCATAAATATCTATGTATAGCTACAAGCCTTAACTTAGAAAACTTTTACACCTGAACATTAATCATTTTCAAAACAATAAACAAAGGAAGTGTCTAATATAAATAGACTTAGGGTCTCCCTACCTCTGGTATAATGCTAAAATGACTTCTTGCAAAGAACAGTCCTAAAAGGACAAATGGTAAAAGAAACTATATAAACCTCACACTCCTGCTCAATTAGGCTTCAAAAGGTATGCTTCTGTTGGGGTAGTTAATAGTTTCAATTATTAGAGGATCTGTAGCATTAGTAAGGATTCAGTATGGTTGCCCCACTCTAGAAGTCATGGAATTAACCTGGTAAAAACCTGCCAAGGTGAGCATCCAAATGAATTCATAAGCTATACATTAAGCACCATCGATTTTTCACTTAACTAACATCTATTTTTAAATACCTCTATTGCAAACAGGACTTTGCTATATAGGCAGCAGTGCTTATTGACTGCCTCTAAGGAAATTTAACTCTCCAGAGCACTTCATTCCAATGGAAATCACTACCTAGCTATCTAGGCTTTAGGCTAGTGACGGACTTAGTTAATTTTGGAATAACAGGCCTGAAAGGTAATACTACAATTTATTATACTTCTACATACCTCCCTCTACTGGCTATAACTGAGAATTCAATTAATGCTGTTGGTATACAAATATCAGGATACAGATAAATACAATACAAATACCAACACCATTAAGTAGAATTAAAATGAAACAATGAATTAATGGCATGCTAGAAACTTGAAGACCCTAAGACAGGTTATCAATCAAGTATTTCTAATGATGCATATGGGAAATGAAGTTTTGACAGGTCCCTGGGTCTCAGTCCAATAATACTGAAGATGAATTGAGGAAGATTCTACATGTTTCTATGTTAGCTACGCTATTTCAGACTTTATGGTTACAACTGGTTGTTATGTTCCCAAGAGATAATATGATTTGATTTGAATCCATGTAATAAGTATGAGGTGGGGTTTAAGAGAATCCCATTACATTGAGTTACTTTCCAGCTTGAATAGAGTGAAGCTCAAGGTAACATCTAATAATAGATACAATTATTTTGCTTAAAAGTCAAATCAGCAAAATGTGATTCTTAGAGTTATATCTTTCTTTACTGAGAATCATGATATATAAAGCTTTGTGTTAGATTACCCACTAAAAGAGTTAAGGTGGATCTCCAGAGTGTTTTCAATCCACCACAATCTTATGCATGTATTTAAAGTAAACTCACAAAGATACATATGGAAGCACACAGGATTTGATCACTACAAAATAAAATGCAGCATGGATTTGGTAGGCTTATTTCATACGATTATGATTAAGATCCATTTAAGACCCATGAGACAACTTTAGAAAGTCAATCTTAAATTAGAATGACAAAAATTTTCTTCCTGTTTTTGAAGATTTCTACTATATTTTTTATGACCAATAATGATTTGATCCAAGGGAAAATATTAATTTAGGAAAGTATACAGAATGTCTAACACCCTAGCATTAGGATCTGACAAATTATCCTCTATAATAGGAGGCCTCATTTCATTTTCTTTTTAAACCTATCAAAGCTTCTTTATTATCCTCTGGATTCAAATTTTGAACTATTACAGTTACTGGCTTTCCATCTACACCTATCATAGTCTCTTGCTTAACTCTAGTTTTCATTCTTTGACAAAGTTGTCAGATGTGTTTAACATATCAGTATAAAATTGCCCTAGAAGCTTTAGCTTTTTGTCCAAGCTGGTCTAATTGGGCTATTTGCTCTTGAAGCTCTTCCAGGTTAACTTCTATAAGCTTCAACTATCCATTTGTATCATTTATATTTATTATTAATCCAACTAATGGGTACTATCCTTTACTAATGAAGAGAATATAACCTGTCTCCAACCTTAAGGATAGCTCCATTATTTCAGGTTTGTTTGTTTTTGTTTTTTGGGGGGACATAATTGTTAAATCCAATATATATAATTGAGACAATACATGAATTGATTTGGTATATCTGAGCCTATGTAATTATTACAAGGGATGTACAGTACTATGGACTGTCCAGTATACTAGAAAGCTACAGGTAGGTAAATTATTATTCAGAGATCTCTGAACATGGACTCTGCTTTCTATTTTTCTGGAGGAGGTGTGGCTGTGATGATATTGAGTTTGGTTCAAGAACTGGGAGAACCTTTATATTTATACATATTTCCAAGAAAGAAGTGCATAATTCTTCCATAATGACGTAAGCTTAAGTTGTCCAGGTTTGCTAGGACCCACACCTTGTACACATGTCAACTACTGCCTCTGTTAGGGACTCTGGGAGACAAGGGAAACTATATTAAGAAATGCAGCATCTGTTTCTCCCTATGTGGCCACCTTGCTTCCAACAAGTTTCTGCAGCCTTGGCCAAAATGCATTGTGTGTACCTGTGTGTGTGTATACTCAATCTATAAGCCATCTGCAATGCTGCAGCTATTTTAAAAGAATTCCACCACACTTGCTTACTTTAAACTTGGAATAGACAAATAGGTAAAGCCAACAACGCTAGATAGAATTAAGTAATTAATAACTTACATAGGAGTACAACTTAAGATTGTGCATCTTAGGATGGGGAGAAGTTGGTAATGGATACAAAATTATAGCTAGATAGGAGGAATGATTTCTGGTGTTCTGCAGTACTGTATGGTGAATATGGTTAACTATAATTTATTGTATGTTTTCAAAAAGCTAAAAGAGGATTTTAAATGTTCACAACACAAAGAAAGGTTAAATATTTGAGGTGATATATATGCTAATTACCCTGATTTGATCATTATACATTGTATACACATATTGAAATATCACTCTGTATCCCATAAATATGTACAATTATTACATGTCAACTCAAAATAAAAAGGGAAAAAAAAAAGATTGTGCTTCTTGCTCCTTCTGGCTCATTTATCTATTGCTGTTCTTTCTCACTCTTAAAAAAGAAAAAAGAATCAAACACATACCCATTTTGGGAAGAAGTTTTTTATCAGCTCCCTTGAAAAAGCACACGTAGATCACTAATCCTCTCTGAATCTATGAGAAAGCACCACAATAAACTCAGATTAGAAAGAAATTTATACAGAGATACAGAATTAAATGAATAAAATTTCACAACTGTTATAGACATAGAGGTTAAAAGCAAAGGAAGAGAGATAAGTTTTAAAATACATTTGATTTCTATTATTATTATTTTTTGAGACAGGGTCTTGCTCTGTCTCTGAGGTAGAGTGCAGTGGTATCACTGTAGCTCACTGCAACCTCAAACTCCTGGGTTCAAGTGTTCCTCCTGCCTCAGCCTCCCAAGACACTGGGACTACAGGTGCATGCCACCACACCCAGCTAATTTTTCTATTTCTTATAGAGACAGGGTCTTGCTCTTGCTCAGGCTGGTCTCAAACTCCTCACCTCAAGTGATCCTCCAGCCTCAGCCTCCCAAAGTGCTAAGATTATAGGCATGAGCCACAGCCCCCAGCCCAGATTTGATTTCTTAATTAAATATGTGAGAAAACAAAATGTTTTCAAGTTTCAATCACCTCAGTTATTATGTCTTTCAAAAATTAATTTCAAAATATAACCAAGCACAGCAAAGACAAGTTATACCTTCAAACACTTACTTCTAATCAAAATCATAGGACTAGCAAAAGCCTCCTCCCTAGTAAGGCTGACAGACTAGAAACATTTAGTTTGCAGGGCCCCATTTATTCAATACCAAATGAATTTACATTATACAAGATATGGCTGATGGATAAGCAACAGTGTGACTGATATCTTTTGACATCATCACTCTCGATTTCCCCTAATCCATTTACTTACGGATAATAAAAATAAGGGTCTGATTCTATTTTTATAAACTCCAGAAAACTGTCCAATTCTTTTTTGTTATTGTCATTAAATGCTTTAAATAAATGAGATTAGGCTTTGAAAATTACATTTACAATCTATATTACAAGGCTGGTTGTTAGCAGGAATATAAATTTATTTATTTTATATAATGATGTGGATATTTCTTTCTTAGCTCTTGTAGGACAGAGACTATATAAAAAAGACAATTTTAAGAAACTTTGATTCTGCTGCTGAGTGAATCATTAGATTTTTGATTCCTTATATTAATTCACGTCTTTGACTCCAGGAGCTATTACGTGGATTAAATGAGTTAATATTTGTAACTTAAGTCCTTAAAACAGTGCGTGGTTCATAGTGAGTGCTATGCAAGTACTCGCTAAATGAACATATAAAAATACATTTAAAGGTAGAGGCACAATTTCCCACTTTAACTTGCAAAGCACTTTACAGACTATTTTGTATGTGATAGGGACTCAATTTATCTGTTGATTACTCTAACATTCAACTATATCTTCCAGGCTCTATGTGATATCTAAGTAATTTTCTATGTAAATGTAAATGCAGCTCTACACTCACATTTGATTTACCTGGAGAAGTCATTTTTAAAAAGTGCTACTGAAACAATTGGCAAGGACTTCCAATACACACCCATAATAAGCAACTGGCAAGTTCTACACTACTGTCACAGGACTTTCCACTGGTATCATTTTCAGTATACACTGAAATCTTGTTTTTTTTTTTTTAAAGACAAAGTCTCACTTTGTCACCCAGGATGGAGTAGTTCAGTGGTGCGATCATAGCTCACTGTAACCTTGAACTCGTGGGCTCAAGTGATCCTCCCACTTCAGCCTGCTGAATAGCTGGGACTATAGGTGCATGTCACTCGCTATGCCCAGCTAATTTTCTTTCTAGAGACAAGGTCTTGCTATGTTGCCCAGGCTAGTCTCAAACTCGTGGGTTCAAGTGATCCTCCTGTGCCAGCCTCCCAAAGTGCTGGGATTATAGGCTTAAGCCACTATACGTCACTATGAGCTGAAATCTTACGCATATTCATATTTGGACACCTGCAATGTCAGAATTAAATACCAAATTATTTGCAGAAATAGACATCTGTTCTTTCTACTTACCACATTACCTCTTCATTAAGTTATTTTCTTTTCACTTATCCCAATAATAAAATAGATCTTAAGTTGTGATCTGCAGATTCCTCTCTTTAAGTCAAGAGAGGAAGCTTCTTTGGTATAAAATATTTCAAATATGTAAGAAAGTACAGATAATTCTCACTGTAGCTTAAAAAATTTCACTTCCCAGGAAGAAAAATTTTGCTGTCTATGACAGCAAAGTTCTAAATGAATGAAACTAAGAACAAAGAAAGGAACCCTCAAATCTTCTGACAAAACTCTTGCTAAAAAAATAAGAACTTTTAATAATAGAACAGGGTAGAGGATGTGTGAGAAAGAACATTTAAACTTTCTCACCATCTAAATTACTTGTCAACTCTTAGTCAACTAATTTAGTAGTGTGTGTAGGAGTCAAAGGGAAAGCCTTTAAAAATAATTTTGAAAGTTTATAAACACGAACTGATAGTTTGGAAGGCTGCAATAAAATATCTGTGATTTTGCATAAGGAGATGTGGAATGAAGAACATAAAAAGATAAACATGAAAAGAACCTAAATGATTAATAGTTTGGAATGTAGAGTATCAGGAGGCAACTATAAAAATAGGTAATTCTTTAGATAGAACTGCAAATTATAAAAAGCATAAAACTTCAATATGGAAAAGAAATCACCTCTTCAACAAAAATAACAAATAAGAAAACTAGATTTCTGAGAAAAGGTGAGAATACAGTGATTTTTATGCTTATAAACATTTCCAAATTGGCACAGGGTAACAGGCTGATTTAGCAATAATCACCCAAATGGGTAGTATTCAAAATAATGACTAGGATTGTGTTAAGTAATGCTAGATCTGGGACCCAATTCAGCAGAGATGAGTGAATGAGATTCTGCTACATTAAAGTTTCTGAGTACCTCCAAAAGTCTTAATTAGGAACTAATTTTTTTCTTATATTTCAACTTACTCGTTGGGGGCCTTAAAGAACATCTTGTTTATATATGGTGTGGGGACAGGCTGTCTTAAAAAGGTAAGAATGTATGCAAGTAGAAGGAACTCATATTGACATAAATGTTCTAAATTCATTTGAAATGTGGTCAGTGTGACTAAAAAAAAATATTTGGAGGAAATGTGTTCGATAATAATGCAACATTATTATAAAAGTAGTGGTCTTTGTTTTTCAGTTGGAAATAAGTCAAATTTTAAAAATTTTCTTGACATAGAATTGTTTCTTGGGGAATCTCCTTTCTATGCTAAGACCAAGCTACAGTTAACATGAGGAATTAGACGCGATCCCACCAGTCAAAGCAGATCTTGAACGCCTACAGCAAACCTAACCTACAAGCTTGAACTAGATCAACGCAGGCCACACGCTTTAAAGGGATCTGAGACAATTAGGCCTAAAGTCCCCCGAGCTCAGGTAAGCAGACGGTGAAAGGAAGCTCAAGTCCCCGTGGTCCCTCCAAGCACGGAGACACGCTCTTCCTATGGGGGACGAAGTCTGGCGCTGGCCACGCTGATGCAGGACGGAAGAGACAAGCGCAGCCAGACAGACCATCGTGGGTAGCGTCGGGCGGACCCGCCGGACGTCTGGCTTGGTAGCAAGCGGCCGGCCCGCCTGGCTTAGAGGGAGATGCGGATGGGACTAGCCATCGAGACAAGGCGGAAAGAACCACCCCTGCACGCGGGAGGAGGACGAGAGCTGCCGGGCCGATGTTACCTCCACCCACTGGGCCGCGGCGTCCCCCTCGGCTGGGCGAACTTGCAGCCGGGCGTGCAGGCACTGCTGCAGGAGTGCCCGAGCCTGAGGCGTCCGGACTCCGTCTGCCATGGCTCCAGCCCCCGCCGGTGTCCGAAGGGTTCGGGCCGCACGCCGCGCAAGCTCCGCCCCCGGCGCGCAGGCAGGAAAGACAGGGCGGGGCGCGATGGAGGGACCGCCCCGGTCGCTTGCGGCCCCGCCCCTAGGACAACGGGGCCCCTCCTGCCTCTCGAGTGTCCCGGATGTACAGGCTTCTAAGACACGTGGTAGTATACTAAGCGCCTGCGCCAAACCTACCCAACTCATTAGAAGGCGCTTGGTGTGTACCTTTAGCATATTAACTGCCACATTAGAAAAAATTTTTTTTCTGTGGGGCCACAGTGTTTTATTACAAAAATAAAATAAAAACTTTGAAAACAAAACGATCCTTTCTAATTTCATGAAAAATTTGTTATTTTTTATTGTTTTCAGTGCGTGAGTTGTATGCAACTTGAAAAATAGTTCACCCGGCTCCCAAGGCGAAGAGACGTGAGTTACATATGCTCAAACTAGCGTGAGTTAAATACAACTCACAGGGCAGTTAATGTGTTTAAAAGAATGAAAAGACTCATTAGATCTCTCCTACACACTTTTGAGCAAATATTTTTCACCTCAGAAAGCTTAGATTTTAGCTGCTGAAAATTTTTAAACCTGCTTGATTTAAAGTCCATATTATGCCCATTATGAAGATAAGTAAAGAGAACGAATCAATCAAATCACAAAGCAAGCAGAGATGGAACTAAAAGCCATACATCTTTCAAATTTTTCCTTATTCCAACCATTAAAACAATGCCACCTTCTCTATCAGGAATGCTATAAATAATACTGCTTCCAGTAAAAGTATTGGTGTGCTATGTGAATACACATTTGGAGACCATTCTTTACAAAATATCCTTGCTAAAAACATTCTTATCTAAGAAAGGCTGATTGTTAATACATTATTTAACCTGCTACTCATATGAAAATAAAACAACATGTTCTAATGAACATAATGATATAAATTCTGTGATGCATTTTCTGTAAGCATGTATTAGAATGTAAATAAAATTAAACAAGAGCTTGGTTTTCTTTCCCATGTAACATATTCCTTGAACATTTATCAGATTATCATTTATTTTTCTACAGGCTTGGAAGGTTTAGATGAGGAATAATAGTGTTACCCTGATTGTGTTACCCAGGTCATTGATTTGGGCTCAGTTGGCAGAAATGCCTATGCATGCGGGTCTGTTGTTCAAGAAGATGACATCACTGACTGTTGCTATCCATACAAAGTAGTGTGACTGAAGAAAGTAATCCATGCATAATCAACAGTCCTTTGTACACAAAATCGAAGTTGCTTGTTTGCTAGTTATCTTGCAGCAAGCCTTACTTCTCCAGTAAAAAACAAAAAGCAAAGTCTCACATTATCTCTGATTACTGCATTGCAGGAATTCTAATATTTGTTGACATTTGTCTGCGAAGCACAGACAAGTTGAATTGCTTAATGTCTGCAACTTTATGTCATAACTATTGAGTCTCTTTTCTCTCTCTCTGACTCAAATTTTATAAGTCTGGAAGAAACATTGACATAAAGATCCTTAGCCATGACTCAGAATAAGAAAGGACTTTGGTGTCTGTTTGTATATGGGTGCAGGAGAAAGGGAGGTCTGTTGAAAATAGGATATGTGGTTTCCAGAGATGTTTCCATGGTGAAACATCTTCGTTAAACATTTGTTTAACAAATTGGGAAACCCTTCCTGTGAATAGATGCAGTTTGGTTGGTAATGGATAGTGAATTAATTATGGATGGATCCTAGGACCTCTGAGATAGCATAATAATTGATTTTAGGGTGATTTTAAGTTGTTTAATTCATTCAAGTTGGCTGCCCTAAATTCTAGCATTCAGAGTATTTCACAAACATGAAAAGTTTGAGAATCACTTCTAAAAAAATCCTTTACAGTTGATGCTGAGCTTCCTGATTATAAACAGGAGAGAATAGGGAAGGGAAATATAATCTGTTTCATAGTTCACAGGATAGGCAGAGCTTTTCCTAAGATTTAGCTCTAAAATTTAGCTCTGAGACTTTATGTAGGGGTATGTTAATAGTAGAAGTGCAACTGGAAGAAGTAGATATTTTATCTCAGGGAAGACTAGATGAAATCTAGCCTCCCCACTTCAAAGCCCAGAGATTTATTTTTCATTGCTTAGGGGGATGACCAGGTTCTGAAAAATTGGTTCACATTAACTAAAATGCACATGAGATTGAGGTAGAACCAGAATCATTTATAATAAGAATTATTGCTGTGACATGGAACAGAAATTCTTACATAGGAAATGATCAGCACATTTCCTCCTATGGTTAAGCAGGGGATGCTAGATCATATTCAGAAGTCTCTTTATTAATTTACTATGAGAAATATTCAAAATATATATGACCAGCATGTTCTTTTTATGTAGAAAGAGTAATACAGAAATCAGGATGTTGCTTGGTGAGTGAGAAGTCAGAACAAAGGGGGTGAGAAAAACCGAGTTTTTGTGAAGGACACTGAAAAATGACCCCAAGTACTAACCATAGAAGACAGTGAGAAATATGTTGAACTATGTTGCTATAGCAAACATCATTCACATTTCCTAGGGCAATTTCTTAAATTATTCTTTGATAAAATCAGAAGCCCTTGACAACAATCCCAAAATGAAAGCAAGTCTTTAGAAGTTATATGGTCTAAATATACTGCTCTGACAGTCCTACTCTACCAAAGATTAATGTGTAAGCTTTGTATACTTCACCCAATCCTAATCAATTTTCTCATCTGGGCCTTTGAGAAGTGTTGAACAATGGGAGAGTTCAAGGTTTAGTCCCTATCAGGGGCGTGCAGAGTAGAGTATTTTATATTATTGACCCAAGACATTATAATTTAGAGATCAAAAGAACAAATGAGGAGGTTACACTTTTTACTGAAAAGCAAAAGGCCAAATTAGGATGTTCATTTGGATGCATAGCTATGCTGGTTCTATATGAAAATGGATTGAAGGATTTCTGAAGAAGGAATTTTATGTGTAATATAACATATAAATGTAAAATTAGGTTCCTAAAGTTTTGTACAATGGAAGACATAATGTTAGCTTGGAAAAATGTCAAAGCAGCTGTCTTACAGAAAACAGATGGCATACTTTGAAGAGGTGAAGAGAGTTGAACAGAAAGGACCATTAACCAGGTATGTGAAAGGTTAAGGTAAACCAACAGGGGATAGTGAAGGATCCAGGGCTAGCAACAACAGGAAGCAGTTACCATTCTGAAGGAGTAAGAGAAAGGAACAGTTTTTAAGAACCAGCAGAACTGTAGCTGAAAGAAAACACTTGACAGGACCTGTGACCTTCCACAGAGAAATGTAGCTCCTGCCAAACTGCAGCTTTCCTTCTCCTCCTACCTTTGATTGGCTGCTGTTTCTCCCATTGGCTGAACCCAACTGGGAGTTAGAGAGTAAGGATTAATTCAGTACAGAAAGAACTGCCTCGTGGGACGCAGAATAGGATGCAGAGGGGTGAAGAGTGAATCTGAAAGGACACACGGAGAAGATCCAGGGTAGCAACTGCTCTTGGCATCTTTCCATGGCCAGAGGAAAAAATGCTTATCTTATCTCCTATAGGATTATTTAGTTGCAAAATATACCCCTCACCTGTACATACCTAGTTCTCTAATTACAAGGGGTTATTTTGTGAAACAATTAAATTTTGAGTGATAGCTATAAATAATTATTTTAGTTTAAGAATACAGGACAATTCTCTGTTGAGGCCAATCAGGTACTGCTAACAAAACTGTATTTATAAAAGCGAAATTAAGTGTCTGTTTGTTAGTGCATCACACCAAAATCTTAGAGAATGTTCGGGATAGTTTGATTTGGTCTATGCAAATTTCACTTTGGAAGGTGTCCAGTACAGTCACAAAGAGACAGTCTTCCGCTAGGGTGTCTGAAACCAGGGTGTGAAAGGCCCGTATGAATTCTGACTTCAAGACATTTGCCATATGCATTAAGACTCTGAGGAAAGAGGAAAGAGATTTAAATAAGAGCTTGAAATCAAAAGTGGAAGGGCAAATGCTTCAAACCACAACCATATATTTTGTCATGGAACTGCTTCTTACCATAGGCAGAGACTGAGGCCAGGAGTATCAGTCCTGCTGAAGCTCTTCCATATAAAAATAAGAATCCTGGAATAATAATAGCTGCCACCTAATGGCTGAGTCTTTCCTTAACATGAATAGTTGTACAACCAGGTAGGGAATGGATTTTAGTTTGAAACTTGATATTGATTGCTGTTTTGTTCAATTTGCTTTTTTAATTCTTATTTTATTACTGTACCATTTGCTAGTGTGTTGCCTAGGTAACATAATATAGTAAGTGCTTTTAACTCTAGGGCAATGATGTATATCTTTGGCAGTCTGTAGGTTTCCCCAGGGTACGCTGATAAATTAGCTTGATCTTTGGGTTATTTTTCAGTTTATAGTGTTATGATAACTTAGCAATGCATTCTATGAATATTTGTATATGTCTATCAGCCCTTTTGCTAAGTCAGGCCAGCCTGTTTTAAGCATCTTTAAAATAATTTTGGCCCTGTATCCTTTTTAGAAAAAAATCGTGAAAGATTTTGAATTGGACAGAAGAGATTTCTGGATATCCTTGTAATGGAATCCTGGAGCCTCTGGATATTACCTGGTCCTATAGGGCTGTTTAGCCATGCTCCCCAACCTTTTTGGCACCAAGACAATTTTTCCATGGACTGGGGTTTGGGGAGATGGTTTCAGGATGATTCAGGAGAATTACATTTATCGTGCAGTCAAACCTCTGTGCGAATGGTAACCTGTATTTGCAGCTGTTCCCCAGCGCTAGCATCACCACCTCAGCTCCACCTCAGATCATCAGGCATTGGATTCTCATAAGGAGTGTGCAACCTAGATCCCTCGCATGCACAGTTTACTGTGAGCCTACTGGGTTCGCCATCTTATGAGAATCTAATGCCACTGCCAATCTGACAGGAGGTGGAGCTTATGTGGTGATGTAAGTGATGGAGAGCAGCTTTAAATACAGATGAAGCTTTGTTTGTTTACCCTCACCTCCTGCTGTGCAGCCCGGTTCCTAACAGGCCATGGACCAGTACTTGTACACA